TTGGTAAAATGATCATTTCCTTGACCAATGTTGCTTAATAATCTTTCAAATAATTTTTTGAATGAGATCGAGTTTCCTAATTTTTCAAATTCCTTATAATTTATGACTCATATACCCAACTAAATTTTTCTAATTAAATTGGGCTCTACATGAGTTTCGTCTGATGAATATCTCAATTACTTATGAAATAAGCTTAAATTTATCAATATGTCCCTGGTTTTTTAAGTCTTTGACCATATTTTTTGGATTGGGAAAATTTCTCAACACTTTTGATACACATTCGAATCATCTTGAATTTATATTTGTTTTGATTTATTCTAATTTTTAACTTAGCCTCTTCCAACGCTAGTCTACTTCATAGGCACTAAATGTCTTATATATATATTTATACATATGTATATGTATACATATATATATATGTATATATATATATATATGTATATGTATGTATGTACATGTAAACATGGAACACATTCAAGTTCCAGAAAATTCATTGATAAAACCTGTGTAATCATTCCAACATAGAAATCTTATTTGGGAGTAATATCACTCAGAAACATAGGAACCATGAAATAACAAAAGTAGTATCTAAGTGTGATCCAAAGTTGTGATATCACTAACAATATGGTTTTGATACCAAGACTACAGATGAACATTCTACCTTTACCACTGAAAGGAAACAATGTGTTAGCTCACAAGATGGCAGAAGCTCCAATACAACAATAAGAGGAGAACCATGAGGGGAAATTTTCCATCTAGTGAAACCAGACCTAAATCACTGCACTGCTTATGCGGTGCTGGATTTATGCATACAAGTCAAGATATCGACTTACAAGGTGACAGAAACTTATGTTACAAATTCCAGCAGAACAATAAGACTGAGAAAACCCAAAGGGGAGATTTTTCATCTAGGAAAAGTGTATCTTAAGTCACTGTACTGCTTCTGCAGTGCTGGATTCATGCACGAAAACATTGAAGGCTTCTTCGGCTTTGTACCAAACAAGAAAGCTCTCAGCGGAATAGTTTTGGTGATTAGTTGCCTAAATTGGTTGTGTTGCTGGTGGTTTCTTGATCCAGACAACTTAAAGTTCTCATTAAGTTTTGACAAAGTCCTGCCGACTTCCATCTGAAGCCCCCTCACATGATCCAAACCGGCTTGCAGTTCCTTTGCAACCTTGTTATTTTCTAGTTGCATGCTGAACACCTCTCCCTGGAACTTAGCAGCCTGGTAAGGAGTGAGATGCATCTCTTCACTCTCGCTTTCCTTTAAAACTCTTGATATCTCGTCTTGTATGCTGCAAAGAGATGAAAATCTGCACTTGAGTTCTCCATTTAACAGTGCATTCTTTTCCAACCAAACCTGGAGCTCGGTGTTCAATTCTCTTAAGCTCTTGCAAACTAGAAGTGATTCCTGGTTTACGGCCTCCTCAGCAGGAGCCATAACAGCGGCATTGCCTTCTTGGTTTTTCTCAATATCAGATTTGAGGTTCTTAAACGTAGTTTGAAATTTTTGAATTTGATGGTATGATGTGCTGAACCGTAACCAGAAATCCAAGTTCTCCTCTAGCAGGGTATCAATGTCTGCTCTAAATTTGTCTTCAAGCAATGAAGAACTTTGTACCTCATTGATGTCTCCTTCATGAAAGCTCCCAGTTTCTATTTCATGAAATTCTACTTTCGTGTTGGCTAGATATCCAGCAACTTGGTATCCAGACATCTCCATGTCTTTTGGTGCATTTACACTTAAACAAGTCTGAAAGGAATTTAGTATCTCTTTGAGAAGTTGAATCTCTTCATCTTTGATGGCATTGGCATTTTTCAGTTCATTTACTTCTGCCATTGTCTCTAAGTGATATTCTTGGGTTTGTTTCTCAATTTCTGAAAGCCTATTTTTGGTATCCTTGTAATTGTGAAGAATGGATGTGTACTCAGTCAGTAAGACATTTTGGCTGCCTTCTAATCCATTTAGCAATAAATTTTGCAAGTCTGGAATGTCATCTGTCTCTTCAAGTTGTGTTTGCACTTCACCAACATGAACATTGTCTGTATCCTCTTGCAACTTGTCTGACTCATTTGTAATTTGCCCATGAGCCTCAATTCCGGCAAGTTTTTCCTTGTTGGAAACCAGAGTTTCTACCTCCTGGGACAATGCATGCTCTTGATGTTTAGGTGACTGCAACTTCTCAGAAATATTGTTAAGACTGTGGCAGGCATCTAAAAATTGTGTTTGAAGGGCATCGTCATCAATATTTAGACAATTCTCAAGATGTTGAATTCTTTGCAATGCATCTTCTGCTTCTTTAAAAGTCTCAGTAAAGGTATTGGAGTCGCCAGTTAGGATCACCTTGTCCTCCTCCATGCATTGTAGGTGCCTATTAAGCTCAGCTGTCTCTGATCTCAATCTCTCTATCTGACCATTCTGTGATGAAACTATATGTTCTAAGCTAATGACCTTGTCGACAAGTTCATCAATCTTTTCTGCCAGTTCCATGACTGATGTTTCAGAGCTCATCTCAAATTGTTCCTTCACTTTCAGGCACACTGACTGTAATTCCATCCTTTCCTCTTTCAGAACACTATCTTCTGTGTTTACGGAGGTGGAGTTCTGCTCCATGTTCTGATCAGAGGTCTCTGTTGTCTCAATCTCTGATTCACCAGACTCACCCTTGAGAGACTTCAGCTTCTGTTTAGCATCTTTAATTTTTTCTGACTCAATTCTTGCCTCTTTGGACGTAACTTTCCGTTGTTCTTGTATGTTAACTAAGCTATCCTCACAAGACTTAATGGCTGATGCTACCATCATTGCACGAGCTTCGCCATCTTCAGCGATTGCACTTGCGCTGAAAGAATTCTGCAAGCAGCAAAATTCCTCATGCATCTCAGTAATTTGCTTCTCAATGTCTAGATACCGGGCTAAGGTGCTCCTGTAAGAGCTCTTGGTGAATTCCTTCTCAGTCTGGAGCACTAAAATTTCCTTTTGAAGCCTGTCTATCTCTTCCTGTGCCTTCTCTTTGCTGATTTGAGTACTTAACTTCCTGTGATGTTGCTTCTTCGGTGTGGGGCGATCTTTCTTTGTTTTCTGTCTGAAGATGAACTGTGGGACTTCTGTTGGCTTACGGAATTTACTGAGATCTATCGAAGTGATTGCCTTTGGAGAGCCACCATCCTCATCATCTTGCATTTCAAAGTCGACCTGATCAGGAAAAGCAATTGCTATGGTCTGGTTGGCCTTTTGCAGTTCTCCTGTTATTCGATCGTACCTATGAGCCAATGCTTTATAAGCTTTATGCATGTCTTCAACAAAGTTACCCAGCTCT